ACAACCTTCTTGTCAAAGACTCAGGGCAAATAAAAGGGATTTGTAATTACCATAATTATCTCTTATATGTTTTCACCTAATGATGTCCATTAAATTCCCAAGGCTTCATTTAGAGCCTGTCTCACTGTAGGTCGGCATCAACTCATAATACAGCATGTTACAATACACAGCGCACAAGTAATGAACTTCTTTCATCAAAGATGTTTATCATGCAGTGCTTCTGGGGAGAAAAGCCAATATACTTCAGCTTTTTGTTACAGTTGGATTATAACAATTCTCGCAGTTCCCACTTATCTTTCAAATTTTCTCTACATGTGATAGCAACCCAATTGGCTTCATGTCTAAACAGGATGGCTCTCTAATCTAGACCGCTGTTCGTTTCATGTAAAACATCTCATTTTGTGGCTTAGGCTGGTGGCTGTCTTATCATTACATAATTCACTGCCCTGTTCATGATTTTCTTTGTGGCAATTTATTTAAATTCCCCCATGTTTATATATTTCCTGTCCACTTTCATTCAAAATGATTGCCTTTCATAAGTTCAAAGACTCATCTTCAAGACTTTTGGTAACTTTGCAGATATTAACACACCATGGGGAGAAAGTTAAAAAAAGCTATTTTGTTGGAGAGCAGAAGAAGCAGTGTTCATGCATGTCCATCTCTGTCTCGGGGCTGAAAGCAGAAGTTGAACTAACCCTGATTAAAGCTCAGATATAGCCCTCTAACAGTCCACACCTCAGCAGGTACAGCATTTGAGAGTTCATGCCTGAATACTTGTCAGTCGTTCTGTCCCTGCACTAAGGCCCGCAATCCTGCATATGGCTCCGCTCCTGTGGTTGCCTAGGTCTTTGTCCGCCACCTATCAGCATATCAGCAGTGTCTCTGAAGCCAGTTGTATAATGCACCATTTATGGCTTTGTGAAGGGAGATGGCGGTCGGGCGGCAGAATAGCTCCAGGCCTTCCCCTCAGTGAGTGGATTAACGGCGGCCTGCTTTAGCGCACTCTACCACGGTGTGAAATCGGCCCCGCTTCGGCGCCGGCGATGAGGCTCCCTCTCTCGCTTTTCTCTCTCTCTCTGTTTCCTCACCTCCATGCAAAGCCTGTCCCAGCCATCTGTGAAATGTGGAAACTCTGTGTCTAAGTTGAGTTCAGATCCCATCCCCTCCGTCAAGCTGAGACCAGGAAGCAAATGGGCAGGCAGTTTGCAGGGGACGAGAAGGAGGGGAGGGGAGAGAGAGGAGGAGGGTAGTGGTGGTGGAGGATCAGCTCACTGATGTCGTGCCGTGTGTGCAGGAACCCTGCCTGTTCTCTGCGGGCGAGTTGGAGGAGGGTCCAGGCCTGGGTGCTAGCCGAGAGATCTCTGGTTCCTGCTTTCAGGTCCAAATCCTCCCTCTGTGTGTGTCTGTGAGGAGGCGAGGCAGTGGCACAGCTCCCCAGAGCCCCTGCCCAGTCCTTTGAAGATAAGATGGTGATACAGAGTCCCTTTCGGTACGTCGCTAACCGATGGTCTTTGTGTGACACGCATGCTTTTCTCCATTGGAGCTTGCAGCTAAAACACCTATGGTCTTTACTGAAACAAATTGGCTGCATGGCCTCAGGTCAAATTAGATTTTGAATGGGGCAGCATCTTAGATCATATAGGATTTGTTTTTTCACCATTTCATGCTGCTAACATGGATCTGTGCTTTCATTGACACTCTATTTCTGTTTGATTTCCTTTCACTGAGAAGAATCACTTTCAGAAATTCTCCTCATACACTCATACATGCTGACTTAATTTTTTCAGATTTCCATGGCAACGAGCTGTCATTTTAACTCCACTGATTTCTCTTCTATCTGCACGTTATTGCTCTTGATAATGGCTGTTTCTTGAACATGTTTCTCCTCTGCATTTATAACTATATTTTGTGGCATTCGCAATCCCTCTTCTGGCTCTCCACAGCAGCTTTTCACAAGAGCAGCCATCATAATCAGGCTTTTGAATTATGAACTCAGTATTGCCTTTACTTTTTTTTTTATCTGGTGGCTTTGGGGTTCAGATCTGTGCATAATGTAATGTGATTGCATGGCATTATGGTGGTCTGGAAAGCCAAGTCGAGGTCCAGCCACACATCATCTTTCCATAGACAATGTGGATCTCTGTGTCTTCTGAGCTCATCAGGGATGGGGCGTTGATTGCTTTTTGATACCCCTCCAACGTGGACGAGGTCCTGCATACATCAGCTAATTAGAATGTACTTACAGTGTGTGTTTGTGTGTGACAGACCCCACACTCCCCATCAGATCCTCAGCCCAAGTGCTCTAACCACACTCACTAAAGGCTTTATCAAATTCCTGACAAGAAAAGAAAAGCTATACAGTGCAGGGCTGGGGCGTGAGCGGGTGAGTGGGGGCTGTGCGTGTGTGTGTGTGTGTGTGGGATTCGATGTCAGGAGAACAAAACACTGAAAATGAAAAGAGAGTGTATAGTACTAGGAGCTATTTCAGTATTTGGGTGAAAATTCCATCGTGAATCCCATTATATGTACAACACATACAGTATAGGGATCATCTAATGCCAACTATCAAGTTTAAGTTATAAAACATGACTTTGTTTAAGAATAAATCACCTTTCTACTATTTCGGAACACATTCATCAAAGTGAAACATAGCGGCAGCAGCAGAGTTAACTTCATCCTACTGTAGTTAATGACGGTCGCTTTACGAGAACCTCTGAATGGATGGCACAGCAGTGGGGAGGGAAGTTGCAGCAGCTAATTAGGCAGCACAAAATGAGTGAGCAGTATCATCTGGTGCACCTTGATGATAGTACAACTGTGGCGCATCAGAAGGGGACGCAGGCAAAGTTTTGCTGTTGCCTCACTGACTTTTTGGGTTGTGAGGCACTTCAGCAAGGCAGTCAGGAACATGCAGCAGTTTTCCTCTCTCCACTCACACAGAAACTCCTGCTGGGCTCACCAACCGTCCTAGCCCAGGCTGTGATCTGTGGGACATGTGCAGGCATCTCTATATATTTCATAAAGGCATCCTATTACACCCCATGGCTTGTGGGAAACAGTACACTGTGGTCTAGTCCCCCTGCAGTGGAGAATAAGTCTAACTGCTGTTTCCTCAGGTAATCTTGACTTGAATCTTAATTCCAATAAAGTGGTGGGGAACATTGAAAACTGCCATCATTGTTGTCAGTGTCCAACTTAGTCAGACCAAGTCTGAATATTTCAAATATGAATGCCAGAGACAGATATGATGCAGGTAGTTGTTTCTTTTGTGCTGAACTCAGTACTAGCTAGCCAGTGCTATAACAGAAACACTTTCAATTAGTCCATCAAGCATTCAATCAAATGACCAAATACAAGCTTTTGAGCAGCTATGAGACTGATGTCTAGGTGTGTTCAGGTGCAGTCTGATCTGTCATAATAAGCAACAGTCAAAGTTAACATCCCTATGTTTAGTTAAGCACTCAAAAGTCAGTTGATCAGCTTAACCAGGACTGTGTGTGTGTGGTTTCATTAGATTTGGCTGACAGTGATCTGGAAACATAATGAAGCAATCCCATCATCATCAGATTTGAGATCTGATCATTCTGATCTGTATTCTGATCAATATATAGTTACATGTACTAAGTAAAATATACATACCAGCTCAGATAAGACAGTATGACCATGGCATTGTACAATGCTGGGTAAATAATTCTACAGTATATCATCCCATGTCATGTTGTCAGCTTGACCTATGTCTTGTTTTTACATTTTTATTTCCAAAACAGCTAATTCTGACACATTAATAGGCAACAGACTAAAGAGTACAGCATTTCCCTGGGTATAAAATGGTATAGCATGGAAATACAGTAGTAACAATAAAACTAGATAAGGTATAAGTAAGTCAGACGTACATAGAGTCCATCACATAGACATTTGTTGTGGTGTCTGCTTCACTGCAACTTTATTTTTATATATATTTTATTTAGTAATTTAGATGGCTAAATATAATTAAATCAAATGCATGTATAAAATCCAAGTTATTGCAGTAGTAATTGATTGTAATCCATTGATGTCATTGTTAAATTAATAGAACCCTATTATCTGTCCCATCTCATTTAAACAGAGTTGTGCAGCTGAAGCGGTGAGCTGGGTCACTCAGGTCAATATGACACTGTTACAGCTTCACCTCTCGGGGTGACTGGGTTTCTTCCATCAGGAGAGAGCAGCCCTCTCTGCTCCCACATGCTTCATTTCATCCGGGTTTCTTTTATCTTGACTGGCCAGGCCCATGACCCCTGAGCACTGATAGCCCAATAAGACTGCAAGAGAGCATCACTGGGGCATTGTGGAGACTGAAACAGAACTTAACTGGGTTAAGTTTTCTCTCCCACTTCTGTAGGTTTGTGTGTTTGCGTTTGCACGTGTGTCTTCAATGATTGACTGCCCTGTCGAGCTAAACTTCAGTCTAGAAACTTCAAAAATAGTTTCCTTGGCTGACCCATGAATGGTGACAGATTTAGCATGAAATATGTATTTTGAATTAAATGCAAATTCATCTTTGAAGCATTAAATTTATTTATATATACATAAAATATGTCAAAGAGCTGCCGTACAGCTAACACATCTAATTCTAAAACACAAGAAATAAAGGACTGGCTGTTATGCTCAGAACTGTTCAATTTCATGGGCCTGCAGAGAGTGCCATGTTTACTTCCCTTTGCATAGAAGAAGAGAAATGAATGCTCTGGGTTTCCTGTAAAGACAAACATGAAAGGAATCACCAAGAGTTCTTTAGCCCCTTTCTCTTGTGTAGTGTGTAACGCAGCTTCCTTACTGCCTAGGTAGTCTCTGCCATCTGACTGCTGTTTGAAGTCACCAGAAGTCGACAATATTTGCTTTTCAGCAGTCCTCGGTCACTGCGCCTCTGTTGCATTTGAAAGTGTGACCAGCGTGGAGTCTATCAGTTCACTCCTTGGAAGGAATGACTCAAATTGGGCACCAGTGGGTTGATGATGAGGTCCTCACATGTGAAGGGATGGCATTCACTGTTTCAATGAGGAGAATGTGACGGACATCTCCAGGTGTAGGACGAGGTGGGCAGTGCTGGGGAAGTTGGACAGAGAGAAAGAGAAGGGTGCCGGAAGCCAGATTGGGCCATTAGGGAGTGGCAGATAGCCACTAATCAGACCTGCTGGGGTGCGATCTCACCAAAACAGCACGAATGGGCCAGACAACCCCCTCAACCCAAAAAAGTGACAGAGGGTGAAGGAGAGGGAGAAAAAAAAGGGGGAATGTGCAGCCAATGCCAGACAAAGTCACACAACCCACTTTACTAAACTAAAATCTGACTTACCTCATTCAGTAGGGCTGGGCGATCGCTCTGTACAGTACTTCACAATATACTTTTTATCCCTTTTTTGAGGAATATTGACATGTTTTTCTAAACACCTCTTTTAACACCAAGTATCTGTAACAGAAACTTAATTCTTAATCAAGTCAGTTCATTCAATTAAGTATCATTCTAATGCTCCAGCTCCTGTGCACGTTCTCTGTAGTACCTCCTCTGCCTCCTTGTCCAGTACACTTTACTGTATGCTTTCCTAGTTGAGCGAGCACATCTTTGCAGGTTTAAAGCATAGAAAGCTATTTCTAATGTCCTTGTAGGCGTGTATGAAAGCTGCTCCTTTTCTCTTGTGGAGGTGCATGTGGGTGGGTTAGAGGGGAGGCTGGGAGGCTGCTGAGACCCTGGCGTTATCAGCACCAGATGCAGGTTGACTTCAGACTTTCAATGGAAGGTAAAGAGAGAGAGGAGGGAAATTAATGAGAGCCATAAAGCCAGCAGGATAAATAATTAGTCAACTGGTCCTAAAATCCGTCCCTTCGTTTGCAGCTGCAAATAAATTCTCCTTGCAAAGTTTGTTTGTCAAAACTGCAAGCTGATTCTGTTGGCTCTTTTTTTGGTTGTTGTTGTTGTGATTGCATGCATGCATGTGTTTTTAAGACTCATTTGTTGGTGTTTTGCCGTGCTGTCCCTTCTTCATTTGTCATGTATATCTGAATGACAGGTTTCTCTGTCCTGCCACTGCTAATTGGCAGAACCAGTGCTTCCTCCAAATGTGTACAGCGCAGGCAGAGAAAAAAGATGATTCAGCTGTCATAATGTGCTTCATAAATCATCTGGATGAGAGAGTGTCATATTAGTGTCCACAGTTTTGTTTAGAATAATCAGAAGGGCATAATGTTGCTTGTTTTACCTTGGTTGATGTTCCCCAGCTGAGCTGCTAGAAACAGTGGAGGCTGTAAAACACATTTCTTTGTACCGATACAGAACCAGACCTTTCTCAAGGCTCATTTCTGTCCGAGAAGTGATGTCATTTCCCTGAACTGATTGCTACTTTGCCGTGCCCTCATCAGGATCAAAGGTCATTTTTGCTCCATTAGAGGACACTATGTGCCAGAATACTCTGTGTTGATCTGGTGTGTTTACATGCAGTTCACTCCCTGAGG